CGGGGGGGGGGCCCCCCCCCCCCAGTGCACAAATTTTTGTGCACCGGGCCTCTAGTAGGATATAAAAGCCTAAGCAACTGGTCGACTGAACAACCGGTCAACTGGTTGCTATGATGCACACTGTCCACCAGGGGACAGACGCTCAACGCAGGAGCTACCCCTGGTGGTCAGTGCGCCCCCACAGTGAGAGCACCACTCAGCTCGAAGCCAGGCTCACGGCTGGCAAGCACAATGATGGTGGCGCGAGCCTCTTCTGCCTTCGCAGCAGTGCTGCCAAGCGGTGGCAGGCAGGCAGGCAGGCGCAGCAGGGCTGGGATGAACGGGAGCAACGCCGTGCCTGGCCCAGGCTTGGGCTCCTCCCTGGCACCTGCCACTTTGCACCCTTCTACCAGGCCAGGCCTGCAGGGATCAGGCCAAAACCGGTAGTCTGACACCCCCTGAGGGGTCCCAGATTGCGAGAGGGCGCAGGCCAGGCTGAGGGACCCCATCAGTGAACAAATCTGTGCACCGGGCCTCTAGTCTGTTTATAATGCAGTAGCTAAAGTGATCCTTTAAAAATATAAATCTCATTATTCCTCTGCTCAGAACCCTCCAGTGGCATTCATCTTATTAGGAATAGAAGCCACAGTACTTGCAATATCCCATGAAACCCTATGAAGCACTTGACTTTTTTTCTGACCTCATATCCTACTCTTCCTTCACCAAGGATGCTGTAGCCACAGTTGTAAAAAGACTGTCCCCCTCCCCCCAATTGTATTGTCTTTGCTCTTTTGTCAAAGATCAGTTAACTATATTTATGTGGGGCTTTAATTTTAGAATGAGTTAGTCAGTACCCACAAAATAACTTGCTGGGATTTTGAGTGGAATTGTATTGAACCTGCAGATCAAATAGGGAAGAATTGGTATCTCGACTCAATAGTAAGTATATGAACATGAAATATCTCTCCATTTCCTTAGTTCATCTTTGACTTTATTCTTCAGAGTTTTGTAGTTTCTCATATAGAGCGTGTACATATTTTGTTAGATTTGCCCTTAATTATACCTAAATATTTAATTTTTAGGTGCTAATGTGAATGTTTTTAATTTCAAGTTCCACTTGTTCATTGCTGATGTATAGGAAAGTAATTGACTTTTCTATATTAACCTTATATCCTGCAACCTTGTTATAATTGCTTATTAGTTCCAGGAGGTGTTTGTGGGGTTTTTTTTTTTTTTTTTTATAATTCTTTTGGATTTTCTACATAGACAACCATATCACATTTGTGAACAAAGACAGTTCTGTTTCTTCATTCCCAATCTGTATATCTTTTATTTTATTTTCTTGTCTTATTCCATTAGCTAGGATTGGTGAGGCTCTGACCGGTGGTTAGAATGTTGGCCCGCACACCAAAGGATCTCAGGTTCAATTCCCAGGCAAGAGCATGTACCTGGGTTGCAGTTTTGATCGCTAGCCCCTGTCAGGAGGTGTGCAGGAGACAACCAATCTATGTGTCTCTCAATTATTGGACTGGTGATATTAATAAAAACTCACCTTGATAATAGTATTGATGAGCCATTTAACAATTATCCTACAGGATTTTTTGTAAAATATTATTTCTATTTTTTCATTTTCAAAAAAGATTTTTATAATATATTTCTAAAATCATCACCTTCAAAGAAACACCTAACCTTATTACAAATAGGTATATTACTGGTAAATGCAGGCATTGGTAGAAATGTGATTATTTATTTTTAAATTATTGGATTGAGATTCTAAAGAGCAATAATGACTGTTTAGGTTGTTTTGACTAGTAAAATGTCAGGTATGATAGACATAATCACTCTTCGGTGGTAATGATAGTTCTACCATACTTGGATGACATGTCTATTTCTTTCTGTTTTTTTTTTTTCTCATAAAAATTGCTTCCTACCAATGCTGGAAATTGCTTCTTCTTGACATAGCTCTTCCTGTTTTGAGCTCCTTGAATACTGCTGGTCTTAAGAAGGATATGTGTGGAATGGGATTTGTGGGAGTTGTTGTGAACAGACAACAATGTCTTATCTGTTTGTCTCTTTCTATATGTACATACAGTATTTTATATTCCAAGATCCAGTAGTTTACCTCTAGCCATTTGACTTTTATCTAAGGCAGTGGTTCTCAACCTTCCTAATGCCGCAACCCTTTAATACAGTTGCTCATGTTGTGGTGACCCCCAACCATAAAATTATTTTCATTGCTACTTCATAACTGTAACTTTGCTACTGTTATTAATCGTAATATAAATATCTGATATGCAGGATGTATTTTCATTGTTCGCGACCCACAGGTTGAGAACCGCTGAAAGGGAATTATTTGTTATGAATTAGAGGAGATTGTGGTGCTACATTAGTGTGTGGATCTTATAGTTTGCTGCAGTGACTTGCAGTAGTCATCTTTGTTATCTATAATAATAAAAGCATAGTATGCTAATTAGACCGGATGTCCTTCTGGACGAAGCTGGGTCTGCGAGGAAAGCCCGGTTCCCAGGTGCCGGAGGGAAGCCGGTGCTGGCAGCCGAGGGAAGGAAAGCCTACTCTTGCATGAAATTTGTACATTGGGCCTCTAGTATTATAATAAAGTCCTGTTTTCCAGGGAAATTTGAGAACCTCCTCTTTTAATTTTGTTTCCTGTATTTTGTTTAGTTACCATATTAGTGTAATGTAGCAATAATTATGTTACTAACAACAATTTTGTGAGATTTGTGTTATTCTCATTTTACAGATGAGGAAACTGAGGCTTGGTGAAGTTACGAAACTTGTCCAAAGTCACACAGCTTGTAAAGGGCACAACCAAGATTCAGAGACAGGTCTGTCCAACTTCAAACTCTTAATCATGGGCATGAATCTTTTAAATAACTGTGAAATATCAACCTATGATAAGTTGTATTGATACTAATATTGCTTAACTATTGTTTAACTTTTACTGATACATTTTTAATGGTGAGTTTTTTTATCCATGATAATTTTATATCTTTTAAATATAGTATAACATAGTAATTAAGGGTCTGAGACTCTGCATTTGAGTCTGGGTATGAGTCCCTAAATTTCTCCACTTACTTGTGTGACATTGGGAAAGTTAACTAAACTTTCTATACCTCAGTTTTCCTATCTGTGAAATGATGATAGCAGTCTTATACATCTGATAGGGTTGCTGTTAAGATTAAATGACAATATGTAGAAAGCACTTTTAATAGTGCCTGGTACCCAGTATTATCATCTAGCAACCAGTAAAACATGATCATTATTTCTAATTCTGTTTAGGAAATTTGAATAAAGCCAAATTTGAGAAGCAATATAAAATATCACAAAACTGACATGAACCAAAATTAAATTTGAATAAGGTAAATCTAAAGAAAATCATACATTTGATTGAGTTCAGATCTGATGTAACGCAAACTGGGCAACTGCTTACAGGTCTCACATGTACAAGGGTATTGTATGTATGAGAACTACAAATAGGTCTACTAGGATACCCTTTTAGTCCAGTACAATCATTGTATTATGAATGTTTTTTGTCTGTTTTCTTTTTTGTAAAAGAAATTTGTATTTAGAATAGATGTATACATTTTTAGGTGGCTTTTAAGGAGATGGTGTTTTGGTAATGTTCACAAGAATTACCAAGAACAAAAAAACCTTATGGGTTATGTAAAATGTTGGCTATATTTTATCACTTCCGGGAGTGGTTATCAGAGCTTACATATGGTGAACCAATGGGTTTGGTTGATGTTTGAACCAATGGGACATTCAATAGAACTCAGCTGAATACTGATCATGTGCTCTTCATTCATACTTGTTCAATGCAGCTGTCAATTCTGAAGTGCCATATCAGCTATTACTACAATTTGGTTAAAATAAAATTCTTGTAATTAGTGATAATAAATTTATGCCAATTGCAAAAATATCTATGAACAGGAGTAATTTGAGTCAAGTTACGCAAAAGTTTAAAGAATGCTATCAGGCTGTAAGGAGATCTGGCTGCAAAATCTGTTACCCCATTGATCTCCAGGGTTGATTTGGCTAATCTGGCTGGCTAGGTGAGTCTCCCCTTCCTTCCTCACCGATGTGTGCCCCTCCTGAAGCTGCACACTTTGTTGAAGAGGATTACCTTCCCCAATAGAGCAGAGTACCATTTCTCTACTAGAATTTTCAAATAAACTCTCAAAAGCTGTTATTTAAAAAATGGGACTTGTCTCATATGCGAGCCCAAGATCTCTATTGCTTTTAATCTACACATGCATTTAATTTATTCTTTTCTTCTTTTTTTTAATCCTCACCTGAGGATATATTTTTACTGATTTGAGAGAGAGAGAGAGAGAGAGAGAGAGAGAGAGAGAGAGAAACATTGATGTGAGAGAGAAACATCGGTCAGTTGCCTGCTATACATGCCCTGATCGGGAATGGAAACAAAACCCACAACCTTTTGGTGTATGGGATAACACTCCAACCAATGAGCCACCTAGCCAGGGCTAATATATTCTTTTTATCATATTGAGCCTTTCTGTCCTTAAATATGGTCTATCTTTCTAGTTTTTTTATATTTAAAAATATATTTCAGTAAAGATCTTTTCTCCATAAAGATCTCTCAAGTCTTCTCTTAGATTTAATTATTAGATACCTTATTTCTTGTTAATATTGTAAATCATATATTTTTCTTGTTTTTCTTTCCATTTTCTATTTGCTGCTACAAGCTTTTTGGTATATACATCTCTGTTCAGCAACCTTACTAAAATATTTTATTAAAGTATTACAAATGCAAATTTTGTCTTCCTTTCCAGTGCTTATGCCATTTTTTTTTCTTGCCTTAGTAGACTAGTTAGGACTTCTAGGACATTATTCAATGCAAATGTTAATAGAGGTCACTCTTACGCTGCACCTAATTTTTGAATAGTGGGCATTGTTATGTTTCACCATTAATAATGTTTGCTGTAGATTTTTGATAGACACTCTATAGGTTAAAGACATTTCTGTTGCTAGTTGGCTAAGATTGTGTGTGTGTGTGTGTGTGTTTGTGTGTGTGTGTGTGTGTGTGTGTGTGAGAGAGAGAGAGAGAGAAGAAGAATAAATATTGAATGTTATCAGATGATTTTTTTTGCATTTATGAGATCATGTGGTTATCCTCCCTTATTCTGTTAATGCAGTGAATGACAATGATATATTTTCTAATGTTGAATTATCCCTTGCATTGCTGGAATGAACCCAAATTAATTATGGTGATCTTTTCTTATACATTTGGATTTAGTTTATTAGTACTTCATTTAGGATTTTTGCATCTATGTTCATGAGTGAAATTGGCCCATAATTTTTATTTCTTATGTTGTCCTGATTTGATTTTAGTATCCAGATTATGCCGACCTCAAAGAATGAGTTGAGAACTAATCTTTCTTTACCCCTCTGAAAGGATTTATTTAAGACTGGAATGATCTATTTCTTAAAAGTTTGGTTGAACTTCTGTTCAACTTGTCTGGACTTGGTATTTTGGGGGAGGCATGTGGACTTAGTATTTTTTGAGAGGTATGTATTCGTTTTCTACATGGTTTTAGGGTTTCTGTTTCTAGTTAGGTCAGTTTTTAGAACGTTGTTGTTGTTGTTGTTTTTTTTAAGAATCCATCTACTTAAAGTATTTGGCATAAAGCTGTTCAAAGTATTATTTTGTTATCTTAAATTTCTGCTAAGTAATATTTTCCCCTCTTTTTTTTAATCCTCACCCGATGATATTTTTTCCATTGATTTCTAGAGAGAGTGAAAGGAAGGGAGAAGAGAGAAATGGAAGGGAGAGAGGAGGAGAGAGAGAGACACATCAGTGTTGCCTCCTACACACAACCCTGTAGGGCTGGAGAACCTGAAACCAAGGTACGTGCCCTTGACTGGGAATCAAACCCACGACCCTTTGGACCACGGGCTGGCGCACTAACCACTGTGCAATCAGCTAGGGCCAAGGACAAGATTATAATAGGCCTTAAGAATAGCTGGAACCAGGGACTTAGAATGCTACTAGGACCTTACCTTTTGCCACACTGTCCAGGCAAAAAGGCTTATCTTTTTGTTATATTTAACTTATCTTTATAAAAACACCAAGAGCCTGGCCGGCGTGGCTCAGTGGTTGAGCATCAGCCTATGAATCAGGAGGTCACGGTTCATTCCAGGTTAAGGAACATGCCTGGGTTGTGGGCTCGATCCTCAGTGAAGGGTATGCAGGAGGCAGTCAATCGATGGTGTTTCTTTCTCATGGATGTTTCTTTCTCTCTATCCCTCTCTCTTCCTCTCTGAAATCAATAAAAAATATATTTTTAAAAAATCAAGATTTTCAGTTTGGATTACTAAGAGACAGAAAATAATTTAGGAAAACTAAAAATAAAGGGATAGATGAAGGTATACAAGGGAAAATGGAAACAAAACAAGGGCTACTCTGTGAGCATTCTTTTCAGTAGCTTTTTCTCCCCTTCCTGATAACAAACTTTAATGAATAATCAATATTCCATATTACTGAGACTTCTTGAGGTTCCTGGGAGACTGATTTTGTGTTCATAATAGAATGGCAATTTTCTTTTTCTTCTCCTCCTCCCTCTCTTTTCCTCCTCTTGTTCTTCCTTCTCTTCTTCCTTTTTTCCTCAAACTTTAACATCTTTGAAACTATGATGCATCTCTCATACCGAGAGGCATCTTACTATTGATGGTATTTCACAATTAATGAACCATTATTAACAATTTTTTCTTCGTTAGTGTAACATAAAATAATGATGCATGTTGTATTCGATAGTATCATAGCTTTGATGAAATATACACTATTATATACATACTAGAGGCCCGGTGCACAAATTTGTGCACGAGTGGGTCCCGCTGGCCCGACCCAATAGGGGCCAATCAGGGGCGGGGCCAGCTGGGGGAGGCGCCGCAGGAGGTTGGCGGGCT